TCATTTATGTGCACTGAAAGTCTGTTCTATTACAAGTTTAATCCAGTTTCTGATCACTTACACTGGTTTATGTGTAGTGTCTGTCCCTAGCCAGAGTGCCTGTGCTAAACTGTGTTTTTTTTTCCTGAGGAGTTGGGGGCAGGGAGGGGGAGAGAGGAAGGAAGGGAAAAATCCCACAGTCAAAAGCTGGTCCAAGTGCTCTCCATACAATTTCCCTTTGCAAACAGCTTGAAACTCTGAGAAATGTAACTGTTTTTCCTTATGGCCTAGCTGCAGATCTCTCCCAGCACATTAGCAAACCCCCTATTTGTTTCTAATTTTTTCTTCACACATCCTGCTTAGCATGCTCTCCCATACACCTGTTATATGTTTATGGTTGCTCTGCACATTGCTCTGCCATGATTCCTCTGTTTTATTGCTTTATTCTGTTATTTCTGAAAAATAAACACAAGTGTGTTTGTTCTCAGTGCAAAAGACCCATTTCAGACCCCTTTCCTCCTCCAGCAGAGCCCCGCCACTTCATTTGGAACGTACTCACTGTTGCAGCCATTGCTGCTGGTGGTCTCGGTCAAGCTGGCACCACACTCAGTTGAACTGGTCCTTGGAACGTGGGCCTTCCTATCCACAAGCGAGTGACCAAACAACCCCAGAAAGGCAAGAGAGAAAGAGCATGAGAAAAACTGATCACAGATGACAGGTGCCTGTAACAAAGGGTGCTTTCACTGATAGTTACACTAGTCCTTTGCTGTTTCAAAGAACTTGACAAAGTTTAATTTGGCCTACTTCAGTGAGGTAGGCCAAAGATCAATCACATCTTAGAGAAGGAAGAATGGAGAAACGAAACATTTGCTCAAGACTACAGAGTGTGTCTGTGTCACAGCCAGGCTTAGAATTAACTAGTGCAGTGGTGCTCTACCTTTTGGCCCTGTGGGCCAGATAAATGGTCCATGGGCTGGATTGGCCCTGGGCACCTGGATTGGGCTCCTTGTTTTCTACCCAGAGTCAAGCCCCACACCACTTGTTCCTGCACGGCCTTCCCCTCCCCGAACCACCTGAATGGGGCTGTGTGTGCCCCCGTTGTGCCCTGCAGCCTCTGCCCAATCCAGCATACCAGGATCAGGACCTGCCACCTCCATCTGGGCCAGCACACTGGGATCAGTACTTGCATGCCCAATCCAGAGCACAGGGCTATGTTAGCCAGCTTGTGGGGCTCCCCACAGGTCAGGAAATTTGGCAGCAGGGGAACACCAACTGCTGCCACCACTTCCCTGCTGCCAAACTTCCCAGCCTGTGACTACACAGGCCAGGTGACATGGCCCTGCAGGTTGAACACCCCTGAACTAGTGACTGGCTTTCAAACCCAAACTAATATCCTCAGTCCAGGCTGCCTCTCTCGAGACTTTAATATATAATTTAAAAGTATCACAAGGCTATTTAATTTGTCATTGAAAATCTATTAACATACCCTTTCAAAATAGTAAGGAGTGTGACGTGCTTTCCAAACCCATTTTCTGAGGCAAAGCAGCTATTAAGAAGAACTAAGCTCTCTCTCTTTGTTTAACACCTAGACATATGCTGTCCTGAGAAAAGCTGTTAGTTTTGCTCCTTTCCGTCCAGTTTGTGTCCTGTGGTGGCATCAACTCCTCTGCTAAATCTGTTGCCTTGGATAGCACTTATGGCTCTGTTCCTGGAGTCTGTGGTTTAAAAAGGATAGATGCCTCTTCTCTGGTCTGTTAATATGCACTTCTCTTACAGTTAATCTGACCCATCAATGGGTTTATATTGTAATTATAGCAATAATTCAAAGATTTATTTTCATTATTCCTAATCAGCGATGTAACTGGGGCAGGGTGACCAGGACAGCTACCCTGAGTGCCAAGTTGGGGATGAGGGGAAAAAGCTGCTGCTGCTGCTGCTGCACACCCATGCCAGCCAGAAGTCACTGCAGGCCCCGTGTGTTGCATCTGCCCTGGGCACCCAGCTTATGCCTCTGTTCCTAATGTTCCTTCTGCTTCCTCCAGGCTATATTTTTGCTTTTAAAGCCCCTTAACTTAATCCAGTTAAAAACTTAATCTTGTGGAATCATGGCTGCAAACAGATGTTGACTTTGTGCCAACAAAAACATTTTTATAGAGGCACAAAGTGAAAGCAAACGGATGTCCGTGCCCTTTGTCGTGCCACAAAGCCAAAGTACGTGGCTGCAACAAGAGGTCAAATAAATGAATGCCACTCTTTTGTGGTGGACATCTGTTGGTTTGAAGGCAGGAGAGTGCAAGTGGAACAAGACTTCAAGCAGGCCCAGGGCTTTAGGGGCTTGATTCTGTAGAGGAATTCCCAGGACACCGCATCAGGCCCTGAAGCCCTAGGAGCACCTGCCCTGGATTCCCCACTTGCAGAGGCAGACCCCTGCATCAGAATCCCTGGACGAGACTTGGCAAGAAAAGAAAACAACCCCGTGTGCAGAGGTGCACCCCAAGCGGTATCCTATTGGGCCCGGAAAATGGAAAATATGCAGAAAAGTGACACGCTCTCCGTCTTGCCCAGCCAGCGCTCTAATTTTTAGAATCAGGCCATTTGTGTTTGGAGTATAAATATTTAGTTACCTTCTCTAAAGTGTAGATGATCATGGTGATGTCAGGTGCCAGAAGCTGAGGAGAATTTAACATGTCCTGACCTGGTGAGCTTTTAGAAGGGACAGAGTGGACATCACCACATCACCATTTTAAGCTCCCTCTTCTGAAGAGTCAGAATTAGTGTTTGCTTTTTATAGAACCAGAACACTTCTGAATAGAGCCTAGTCCTGCTTAAGTAAATGGCAGAAAATCTTGAAGACTCTTGAGAAGCAGGGCTGGGCTTTTTTAGAAAGCCTTTAAAAATAAAACTCTACAGAGGGCCTAGTTTTTTACCTTTGAAAGTCCGTGGTGGTTTTGCCATTTATTTCAGTGTAAGAAGGATGGGGTCAGGCTTTCCCCTGTCATGAGAAGGCAGTCCAGATAATGTCTGGGCTATGGGAACTGTGGACATTTCAGAACTCTGCTCTGTGCAGCCAATCTGTCTCTACCTAGCTTTGTTCACTTAGTTTTCTCTTCACCAGTCTCTGTCCACTCCCACATCCTCTTTTCTTTTCCATCCCTGTCCATTTCCATCTGTTCCTTTACATAATATTTCCTATTTGACTTAGCCATTCCTTCACTTTCCTCTTATCACTTTCCATCACTGTCTCCTCCTACCCACTTCAAATGCTCCTCTTCTCTTTCAGCACTGACCTATAATTTTCCTTCTGAATACAGGTTCTGCTTCCTAAAATGTATTGTCCTGACATAGCTCAGGAAATAATACCTTCAAAACCATAGCTATAACAGCAGATTGTTGGCAGGCTGAATACATAAATCAGGGTCCATGTCTACTGAACTTTTTTCAGAGCGCAGCTGACAACAATTAGATGGTTCGGGACTGGTTCCTGCACTTACGCAGATTCGTTTCTGCAACAGCCTTTCTTTGGGATGAGCCACCTTCCTTGTCATTCCTAAGAAATTTTTTTTTAAAAGGGCAGGGGGGGCATAGTTTATTTTCCTTTATCCTGGAAGTAAGATGGGTCCTCCCCCATGGTCCTTATTTGCTGTGTGATTTTTAGCTCCTTAATTTCCCCAGAGGTAAATTAGGTTAAATACTACTTCCTTACTTCACAGAGGTAGGAAAGGTTTTAATACATTAAATTGGAGGGTTGAAAGGGACCTGGCCTCCATAGCAAAGGAAAATATTTATTCTCCTTCTTTAAGGCAAATGTCAGTTATTTGAAAATTGTTTTTACACCCCCTTAATCTTTGTCTCTCCAAACTGAATAGATTTAGTTTCTTTAGCTTTTTCACATTCCAACCTCTTTCATATTTTTGTTGCTTGCTTCTGGATCCTCTTCACTTTTTCTACAACCTCTCTACAACCTTCACTTTTTCTACAACAGAGCCATACAAACACAGTACTAATATGTAAGTAAATATGATGGAGAAAGCCACTTTCCTTTATGAGATTTCAATTCTAGATCAAAGGCCCAGATTGAAAACATACGAACTAGCAGAAATTTGATATCACAACTTTATTTTTATATTCTTCAAGCCAAACCTTCCTGTTCAAGAGGACAAACCAAAAATGACATAGACCCCAGTCCCTACATAACTCCAGAAACTTGACTGGTATATGTGGTAGCTTGATTTTTAGATAGCAATGTGTTTTAAGCCAAGCATAACCCCATGTAAAAGAAGGTTATTAACCACAGCTGCAGTGATTAGCTTTGTTTATAACTCTGAAGCAATAAGAGTAGATTGAATCACTCTGAAAAAAAAATCTGTGACTTGCTGATCAGCTCACTAAAGAGCCAAGTATTTTCATCTAGCAAACTTTTCTTGTCTTGAGCCTCTAGGAGAAATCATAGCTACCGCAGCAAGCATCTGAGGAATAAAATGATCTGCAGTGCAAGACTAAGATTATCCTTATAAAATGTTGGATGTTTCTTTATGGTTTGACAAATCAGCTCCTATTATATAAGATTTTCCATAGTAGTCTGAGTAATACACTGGATTTAACGGTGTATCTTTACACTAAAGCTGTATAGGTCTCATCTGAAAGTTCTTCATGTTAGGGGACTGGCAGGGTTTTGTGCACAGTGTTATGTGAATCTCTGAATACCAGGTCCATTTAGCTGCAGCCTTGGTGGGCTGTGCCTTCAGTGCATGGAATTGGGAAAAGAGGGAGGAAAAGAAAAGAGAGAAAGCCTGTTGTATGCTTGACCACTCCAGCTATGTACTTTTCTCCCAGTAGATGCTGTTGTGCTTTTTTTTCTTTTTTTCCAACTGTTTTTCTCCCCAGAAGCAACTTTTAGTTCTAAAGATCTGTAAGACTTCTGGCATGCATTCTAAATGGTAAGTGAAAGCCTTGCTTTTCTTATTATTTTAAATATTTAATGAAATCTATTTTCTTCCCACTAATGAGCAGGATTAAGTTTAACTAAAATGAAGTGCCAAGGTTGGGGTGTACTTTACAACAACTTCCTGATATTGAGATTATCTTAATGAAATCGTTCCCTCTTTTAACTGTATTTATGCTGAGAGAAAAAAATGAGCGTTTAGTGAGTTTCCATTACAGCAACCGACGTGAAACAAGCCTGGCTATTCTAAGTGTTTGGTTTGTTAAAGGGTCTTGTATTGGATAGGTCAAGTCTGCTGTGCAGAGGCCAATGTAGATATGGAAGGAATTTTTTTTTACTGTTGTTTGATTTAAACAAACTGAAATTCAGACTGAACTTGTTTATGATCTTGGCTGTTGGCTATGATTCTTCCCTTTAGTTTCCTGTTTCTTCCTTTACTATTCCTGGGTTGGAGTTAATGGAATTCACTTAGTGGGTTGCCAATACAAAATCTCTGCTTTTGTCATGACCAGCACAGCCACATGAGCCATAATTTAGTCAAAATGTGGTACTTTAGCTGTAAAAATAAAACATGGCCTAGACGGTTTTAGTTTTCAAAAGTACCTAAGGCTTGTTAACTTCCTTTGGGAGCTAGGCTCCTGTATAACTTAGATGCTTTGGAAAATTTCAGCTGCAACAGATGTGGTTTCAAATCTTTGCAAACTGGCAATGTAAAAGTGAGTTATATCTTAACTGGTGTTATCTGAGGCCAGATATACCTTTAGCTAGGAAAGGAAACAAGCATACCACAAAGAGTGTAAGTGACTACCGATGGGGGAAAAAAAGCTTTAAAAAGGAAAGGTTCTGAAGAACTGCAAACTAGAAAATAAAATATTAAGACCAGAAAGATGACACATGCACATTAATTATGCTGAATGCCCTAGCATGCCTTATGGATAATTCATTCCATAATTTCACATTCAAATAATTAGTACGTGATTACCAGAAAATATTTCTACTTGATTGAACAGCTTCAACACTCTGAAGTGCTTTTACCTGCAAAAGAAGTAAAATGTTCCAATTACAAGTACCCCTAGAAGAACAACTGAAGCCAAGAAAGCTGCAAACAGGTCAACTGTAGCTTGGGTCTTGATGTTGGGCAGCAAAACTTCTTCGCAACGGGCTCCTGTATAATTTTCAATACATCTGTGAAAACACATTTTATACAAATTAGTTCTTGTCTGCTTCTGTCCTTTGGTGGGAAGAGGACTTGCTTTCTGACTCAGTACAATTCAGCATTTATATTCATTTCCATAACAGGTTCCTGATGAAATAAGTACATAAATACTCTATAAAGAGTAACAAGAATTTGACAGCATCCCCTTTAACTTTGTAACATTATTGATGCTTGTTTATCCCATGCCATTCTCTGCTAAATTATTCCAAACTACCCTTTTCTAAATGCTGCTAAATCACTATGCTTTCCACAGGATACCCTGTGGAAGGGGCAATTTTATTTAGTTAACCAACTGAACTTGGATAGGTTTAATTTCCCACCACATCTTGTCAGCTGACATGGTGTTTTTTGGGACACAGAGGGGGCGGGGCAGAGAACACAGCCCTGCAAATGCAAAGCAGCCCTAAAAGTAACTCAAATGATACTTCTGTTGCCTTCCTGCCTGCATTTCCTGCATAGTTAGCTTCCTCTTGTTTGAGAACTCTTACTGCCAGTTATGACACATCAAGGGAATGGGTATTTATTGAGACATGAGCCATATAAAACATTTGACAAATTGCTGTGACAGTTACATTAGCAGAGTATACAAGGAAATTAGAAGCATGCCAACACACATTATGTGCTTGTGAAATGCACTTACTTTCATAGATAGACCTAGCTGAAAGGCTTCCATACACCTGCTTTGTGTCAGACTTCAGAGAACCTTTTCTAAACTAAGGAGATGCATTATGTCAAAAGCTGCAATGATCTCCAGAGAAATAACGAAATTCTATTAACTGAGCACCACAGGGAGCTATATCTTTTAAGAGCCTCTGGTGGGGAACTGTACCTAAGAGGCTCTGACTTAGCTGATTGCAGCTGGCTGTTAAGGTAAGCAAAGCCGAGACTCGTGTTATACGATGCTGCTCAGTTAAAATTCAGACACTGAAAAAAGTCCTTCAGAATCTTTGGCTCAGAGCAAACCATGTGTGGTCCCAGGTTTTAAATGAACAAACAATCTATCTCAAGTGGAAAAATGGGACAGTTAGCCTCATCTGAGTTGAAACTATGGAAATATGGAGGATAAATGGAAAGTTGATGATTTTCTCTATGTGTGTAAGCAATGAATGCCAGCAAAAAGGAAGATGGTGGGGGGAAAGGTTGTCTTGTCTCTGACAACAGCTGTTTTTGAAGAACTTGATGTTTTGAATCCTTTTTTAGTTAACTCAGCCAGTTGAGGCTAGCTAGGAAACTGAATGCAGAAATGTGAGGTATATTGCACTCCATGTTAAAATGAAACCTAAATAAGAGACTTTTAAACTGAGTAAAAAAAAAAAAAGATGAAAACAGAAGGGTTTGTGACTGATTTCAGGCTAAAAAGTTTGTTTTAAAGTTTTGGGAAACTAAGTCCATGCTAAAAGACTGCATCAGGCTGATTGAGATCTTGGGGAGGGAGGGGGTGGGAAGAGAGAATCTCTTTATCTTTCTCTCTGTCCTGGAATTCCTAGAATTAATCACTGATATAGCAGTTAAAGGCCAGACTGAAATGTATACAAGATAGACATTTTCTGATCCTGTGAGCATGAGAGAGAGAATGTGAACAAAAAATGGCCTGAGGCGCAGAGGCATGTAGTGCTTACAACTGGAGTCCATGAGAAATAGCAGATGGAACTGCACGTCATGGCCAAGAAAATGACAGAAAAACTGGACTACATTACTTCAGATGAGTTGGTAAATACCATCAGAATGAATGCAAGGTAGTCAAGCAGGCTGATGACAATGCACTAGCTTAAAGGGATTTTTTTTAATATAGGCAATAGTCAGTATTGAAGCAGAAGATGACTAGACTATTAGCCTGAAACCTATGAGATGCATATGCAAAAATGCATGAATTAAATCTTGGAATACTCCCTGATTGTTCCTGTAATAGAGATGCTTTTAAAGAGAGAGAAATTCAGTCTCTCCTTCTCCTTCCCTCTCTCCTACTGCTGTGAAATACACATCTTTCCTAACAGACGGCTGCATGCAGTCCTCTATTATAAACTGATCCTTAGGCTTGCATGACTGTGAAAAAAGGTTGTAAGCTAGATGCTATTAGTTGGATCTAGAACTAAATTACCACTACATGAATATGTTAATTTCATACTGATTTGAATGATAAACAATCAACTTTAATAGTTTGTTCAGTAATTCATACCACACAAAAAGTCAAAGTAAAATAGTTTCACATGCTGAGGTAGTAAACAGAAATCAAAAGGGCTTTTTTGTTTGGTTTTAGAAAATGTACCTATTTACTTGTCTTATCTAACTTCTTAAAAAGATTCTCAGTGCATCACAGACAAATGGAAAATAAATGTTCAGCAACCGTATTTATCATGTATCTGATACTATCTTCATTCATTTTTCATTAAAAGAGCCTGGAAGAAGAGTCTGAATCTGTTTCTCAGTTCCTTATTCTTGACCTTTTGAAGTCACAGTAGGCATATCTACATGAGGCATTTACTGCGGAGTAGATCAATTAGTTCTGCAGTAAATGTCTTATATCTACACGTGTGGCCATATGAGACTGGAGGAAACTATTGAACTCTGCGGCAGGACAGTACTTGCAAATACAGGGCGCTTGAACATGTGATGGGGATTTAATCTCCAAGGTTGCATTCTATGTCCCCTAAATTGAAACAGTGGGTTTTTAATTGAAACCCACCATTTCAATTTTCCTGTCATGTTAGGACAAGGGGCCCAATCCTTTTTTTGTCAGAGCCTGCTCACAGCCAGGGTGCAAGCTGCTGGTGGGCCAAGGCAGGCTGCCCAGCAGGACAGGTGCTACCCCAGCTTGGGGTTTGGGAAGAGTTGGATTGGGCTGGATGCTGTCTCCCAAGCTGGAGCAGCACCCAGCCTGCTAGCAGTCCACCCAGGCAGCCCCGGGGAGTGCTGCCACTGGGATCCCCCAGTCTGGAGTGAGGCAGATGAATGGTGTAGCACTGGGAAAACATTTACGATGAGATGGATGGAAGCATTTTTTTTGTAAAACCCTTTTAACC